GAAATGTTTTAATGTTGACAAGTTGATGGAACGGAATTGTTTCAACTTGTTAACAAGCTTGCTACAAGCCTGTTGCGAAAAGTCTTGTTAACAAGCTTGCTACAAGCCTGTTGCGAGAAGTCTTGTTAACAAGCTTGCTACAAGCCTGTTGCGAAAAGTCTTGTTAACAAGCTTCCTACAAGCCTGTTGCGAAATGTTTTAATGTTGACAAGTTGATGGAACGGAATTGTTTCAACTTATTAACAAGCTTGCTACAAGCCTGCTGCGAAAAGTCTTTTTGACAAGTTGATGGAACGGAATTGTCTCCACTTGCTAACAAGCTTGCTACCAGCCTGTTGCGAAAAGTCTTGTTGACAAGTTGATGGAACGGAATTGTCTCAACTTGTTAACAAGCTTGCTACAAGCCTGTTGCCAAAAGTCTTGTTAACAAGCTTGCTACAAGCCTGTTGCGAGAAGTCTTGTTAACAAGCTTGCTACAAGCCTGTTGCGAAAAGTCTTGTTAACAAGCTTTTTTGCGATTGGGGGGGGGGGCGACCGCCGCCCCCCCCCCTTGCCTCCCCTTGGCTACGCCCCTGGTCGCAAGAATGTTTGCGGGCATGCTCCGCCAATTCTGGCGAAGGATTGGCATCGAAGGACGTTCCTGGTATATTAGACTATTATTAGCGGATTATTAGCATTCTCTCCTCGCCGTGAGTGATATGTATGTTATAGCACTATTCAGAAAGCACTGGTTGCGTGGTCAATATAGCAATCGAACTCCAATGCAAGACGAATGTTCCTGATGTGTTTAAAACCATATGTCCAGTGTTTGGGGGACTCTAGTAATTTGTATGAAATTTCAATCGATCATTCAAAAAATTGTGAATATTGTTGGATAAATTTTGCTGGTAAAGTTAACGGTAGCAGTTTTGTTTTTTCATCGAATAATGGGATTTGTGTACTTTCATAAATACTTGTGCCATCACTAGAAATTAGGGCAACCTCGGTGTTATGACGGAAAGTAGGTTAGTTATTTTGTGAATAGCAGTGTGCGGTCCATTGTTGAGGTTGAAAAATTGTTTGTTGTACTGTATAGAGATGTTCTTAATTGATACTATCAGGGGCGATGTGTTTCTTTTGTCTACAACACATCAGGCATGACTACAAAAAAGATTTAGATCATTGTTTTATGACGGAATGACAAGTATTGTATCCTATTCACAGGGCCGGTAATAATTATATTCAAAGTGACTATAAATAACGAAGAATAAGTTAAATAGCTAATTAGGCGTGCCCCAAGCGTAAGTGCAGTACACACTCTGGAGACTATAAAAGGGTGAGTAGAACTGGAAAATCCACCTTTCGCTCAGCGAGGAGACATCCAATCTACAAGCCTTGAGGTTTCTGGGTGATATTGACAGGTGTGAACAAGGTTGTGCTGCAAACTATGAACAAGTTGTCAACAAAACATGCTAGGTCCTTAGACGTGCTTAGGTCCTTAGAGTGTTTAGGTCTTTAGACGTGCCAATCGCCCAATTTCACAGTCAGAGAGGCAGCGAATGCTCTCACTTGTTTCAAGCAAAGTGCTAAATTTAAACCATGCAGTATAGTGCCCTGCATGGTGGTTTATAGTCAATGGCAATGTTTGGAATGGTTGAAAATCAATGGCAATGGCAATATAATTTGTGGGAATTGAGGTGTAGGTATGAGGTATGAAAACAATGATTTCGATTATAGGACCTTTATTTATGATTTTTGTGGCTGTTTACCACATTTCACTTTGGCCATATTTATATAATTATTACAATGTTTTGTTGCTACAGCAATGATGGTTTATTCAATTTATAAGTATTATTTATACTCTAAAAACATTGGAATCATGTAATCAAATAATCTTTGAATAATATAATAATGTCCAAGGTGAATTTCTTATTGTAACCATGATGAATAGCTCTTAGTAATAGCCTCACGTTATTTGCGGTGCAATGGTTTATGGCGCATCTGATGCTTGACACTTATACATTTTAATTTTATAGAATATTTTCAGTTATTGTGTTCTCAGTATTCTCCAATTAATGTCATGTAATGCGTCGACGATGAATTTTTAATAAAGTTGAGAGGAAGGATTTGTGCAAGGTACTGTTCAACATCCAACAAAGGTCTTGTATTTTGTGGCTTTCAAGTTTGCCGCCATTTCAGACTATCATATCGTAATAGACCATGCGCGCAGACATGCACTGTATACATGTACGATTTCCTTGAAGAAGTTCTGCTGTATTATTATATGGCAAGCACTTGTTTTGATGAATTTGTTTGGCTGCTGACGAGGCAGGATATTTTCGAATTGAATTGCCTAGTTGCAATACGCATTTTTTATTACCCAACGAAGCTGCAACAAGAGCCGAGTTTCAAACGTAAAAAAGTACCTAAAAGTCTTTCAAACTATTCAAAACGAAGAAAAATAGACCTAAAATAGAGAAAAAGAGCCAGTGCGCATGTGTTGTGGTTAAAGAACTTTCTCAACACGTGTTTTGTTAGAGAAAGCCGAATTTACAAGGTAAATTTTGCAACGTTCATAAAACTATAAATTAGTTGCGTTTTGACTGTATATACACAGGACGAAAAGCGTGTCATTAAACAGCTTTAGCAAAGATACTATATAAAGATATTAAAAGTGTGTTTACACCTCTAATAAGCTGACTAAAGTGGTTAAATAAAAAGAATAAAACACCTCGTTTGGAAACTGACAGGTTAAGGGGGGGGGGGGGTGAATAGGTGTGTACAATCCGCCGATTCGCCCAAATTTGAAGCAAAATCCGCGATTCAGACAATGATCTTGTCTAAATTTGAATCCGCTAAAAGCTCTAGTATGAAGTCACAATCCAGGATCCGAACTAAATTGCAAGTTAAACCCACAATCCGAGCCAAAATATTAGATAAATTCGCAATCCGCTGTACTAATAAGATCTCTCAGAGTCGAAGATATACTGCAATTCCTCCATTTTTCCGTGTATCTGCATTATAGTCTCTATCTCTAGGCCCTTATAGGTTACATGATGCCATTGTAATAGAATGTGGAGTTATTAAGTAACTTACAGGGATTTATAGACCCAAATTTTACAGATATTGGCCCAAAAATAAGGGTTTCACGCATGTTTTAACAGGAATTTGTACGGAACAATTTTTTGACCCTTAATTTAACTGGTTTATGTCCGCAAAAATGTTTTCGACCCTTTTTTGGAACGTCCGGAAATTTTTTTTTAACCCACAGCCAACATTTTTGGGAAAAATAGTGGCCAAAAAAAGATTTGCTGCAGGACATCATCGGTTTTGGCAGAAAAATTCTAGCATACACCCCACCAATTAAAAGGAGCTAGTTTCGCCCCTGATTTAAGATGTCGTTCCCCGGTGTAATTTGGTATTGAGAGACGTGGCTATTTTGTAGGTAAACAATTCTGTTCAGCTTCTGGTGGGAAGGCTGCGCCATAGATATAGGGCTGCGCATTCCACTGGTAGCAAGTGCGCCAACTCGCTGTGTTGGATGCTGGTTAAAATGCGCCATTTCAACCGGCTTTGCGCAAAGAATACCACTAAAAGTTTTACAGAATTTAAGGTTGTTATATTAAACTGTCGCCGCGAAGTTCTATGCAGGCACAATGCGAATATGCGATCTTCCCGTGCGCCATTTTAAATTGTCCTCGGTTCCCAAAAAGACCCTGGGTACGAGGATGTTGGCTGCGTAGCCTTGACCACAGAATAAAGATCAGTACCAGAAGGGCCGCTCAGCGTTGCAACGTGTCACCATTTTTCTATGCAAAAATATGCAGTTGACTGGCCAGAAGGCGGGGCCTTCAGCCAATACAGCGCGTTTATTGGCCAGAAAATGTAATCGACTGGCTAGGAAGATGGCGGCCAGGGTGACAGAAACTTCAAAGCTTCCGACGTAAGTGGCCCTTCTGTGTGCCTTATTCTGTGACCTTGACAGTAAACATTGTGGTGGCCTGCGAACAGGCTCTCAAGCTGAATTGAGAGCCTGCATCGATGACTAATGAATTTGAATATCTGCCCCGTAACGTTCGTTTTTCCAAATATGGAATGCCTATCCTTATATGGTGTTGTTTACAACTTTCGTGCAAACTAAATTTAGACCATGCAAACTAAATTTAGACCGTACAGTTTATACTGTTTTTCGAAATATAAGATATTGAAGCAAAAGCATAAGTTTAAATGTTTTAAATACTGTTTTCTCAAAACAGAACATTTCGTGCTTTGAGATAAGATAGCCAAGACCAATTTGATCAGTTAATGTGTTTTTTATGCATAGTGCTAGCAGTTGACATATATAGAGCTCAGCGGAATAATATAAATTATATGAGCATCTGACCAATGAGAATTTTGCGTCACGATTTGAGACGCAGATATTCAGATTCATTGGTCATCGATGCAGGCTCTCAATTCAGCTTGAGAGCCTGCTCGCAGGCTAACATTGTGGTAAACATATTAGCCGCTTACGATTATAGAAGTCTGGACTATGGATGGAATCAATTTGCAAATTACTCAGGATACGTTAACAAGCCGAATTTTTACTTTGTTCACTGCTTTTTGGACGAAGAGGAATTAGATTTGTGGAAGAAATTTGATACAACGAAAGATTCCTACTGTGAACAATGGTTCCAAGTCCTTTCTTGTTGCTTATAAACGTCTGGCCTTTTATATAGCTGTCACACAGTCACATTTCGATACTTGCTAGCTGAAATTTCGATATGACTACCGGCGTTTCCCTACTAAACCAGTATGTTTTGCTATTGCAAAATGTCGTACAGGAAAACAGGCTTCTTGATTAGAGAACAGGTGGCCAATTAATACAATTACACCGAGTGAAAATGCGCTGAAGAATTATTGAACAACGGCTCGGTCTAATACTGGGAGACGAGTCAGGCACTCAGACAAGCGGGGCAAATTATACAGAGAATGGCCAAGGCTTGCAGTGTAAGTAAAACGTTTATTTTTACAGTGTACATTTCCGTTTAGAATTGTCAGACAAATTATGCTCATTGCTTCCTACAGTATATGTGTATGAATATATGAACTTTGTCCATTTGGCCGTTATAAAAATACAGTCCATCCGAAATATTGGAGCCAAATTTGAAATCCTTTTCCAAATCAATGACATCTACATACTGTAATTATGGTCCAGTATTTGCGTTTAATTTAGCTAAATATAGTACAATGGAATTAGGATGCACTTGTCAATTACTTTTATTATTATTATTAGTTTAATAAAATCGTATCGCAGTACAATTTTAACTGAATTACACGATTATAAATATAACAACTGAATAAAATATATACATAGAGTCACAATGTTAAAGTTATGTCAGAGGTTGCCAATTATCTACATTTAAAAAGCCTGTTAAAGGCAGTTACAACGATAAATTGTAAATTTTTAATATATCATTCAATACTTTGATATATCAATAATTGTAAATTTTTAATTATATATCATTCAATGTAAATTTTTAGTATATCAATACTTAACTATTTGCCCGACCCCCTAAGACAGGCTGACCTGACTAATCTTGTCTAATCCCCCAACCCAAGGGGGGCCTAATTTGAAATTTTTATTGAACAAAATTCTTATTTTCAAGATAAAAGTAATATCAGGACATTAAAATCTAATTGCATATGTAAATTAAATAGTATGTGCGATCAGGCAGCTATTCTGTGAGAAAATAAATTCACAACTGAACATGTACAGTAAAACTATTTTGTCACTATAAAGTGAAACAAACAGAATATAGAACTTCCAAATGCGAACAAAAAATGACCTGATCCAGAGATAATTGACTTTAAGAAGACCAGGCACAGGCTCCACTCAACACGGCAATCCTAGCCTGCAAGCGGGCTGTATCCATTCCCACATAATGCCCCACATAGCAGGGTAGGGGATCGATAAGAGGAAAATCCCCTGGCACCTAGTCAGGCATAAGTGGGAAAACGCCCTACATAACCCCACGTACCTTTCCCCAAGGTTGGGGGTGGGGGTTACAATTGACAAGTGCATTAGCCTTACTATATGCAATACCTGCTTCCTAAAATTTCTAGTATTTGATGCATTCAAGTGCATCAATACTGTATTGTACTATTGTCTTCATAGCTTAGTTGATTGGACTTAGGGTTAGGCCTGTTTATATGGAAGCCGGATTGGCCCGCTTATAGCGAGACAGCATGGTATGCAGGATGAATTGCTCATGTACTTATACGAGAAAATTTCATCCTGCTTGCCAGGGCAATTTTATTATTTTGATATATTTTATTGTTTTGACAGTAAGTTAAAAATAGCTTGTGGCACTATATTCGAACTTTCATCCTGGCAAACAGGCTAGGCCGCTCGTAAGTGTTTATATGGAAAAATTTCTATCCCGGTAAGCAAGATCTTGTCCCTTTCGAGCAAGATCTCAGCAACCAGGCAGCCTGTTTGTCCACATGAATGCACAATAATTTTTACTATAAAAATTAACTACACAGCAAGATCTTGCCAACCGGGCTGTCTCGCATAGCAGGCCAGCCCCAGCTTCCATATAAACAGACCTTTAGATACTATCTCACTATATTATACATATAATATACAGAGCTATAATTCTAGCTTATTATAAAGTACTAGTACCCAAAAGCGGGGTTTTAACAGTGCTCTGCCTCTGCAGGGGGAATACAAATTTATAACAAATGTCATCCTTTTGATGCCCATTTGAACACATGACATAAAGACCAACACACATGTATTTTCATAGGATTAAATTTAACCTAGAAAGCTGATTATTTCGACCCAGCCATCTGGTTAATTTAACAATTCAACAAAATTTTTAGTACGCTGGAATTTAACAGTTGTAAATTTTCAAATTCCCGCATATTCCTGAGTTCAATGTTTTGATTGACTAGTGCTTTACTTGGGGTTAAAGAAAACTGTATGCTTTTGGAATACAGACAATATACTTTTGGGTTTTCTCACTAATTTACCCTTAGGTAAACGGACTTGACCCAAGTCTAAGAATAACCTAACTATTTAGTTTGTCATTATGTGCTTATAATTCCCTGTTTCTTTAATGCCTTTTACTGTAGCCCGAATCTCTGCATAATGTTCTACTGTTCAGTGGACTAGTCCAAGAGTTGTATCATGAATCGGTGGACAGGAAATTGTCCCTGGTCAGCTTTTATTTGAAAAGGTATATGTTAGCCTGTTTAATGAATGTTAAAGCTGGTTACAGAAGAGCAAGTTTTCTATGACAAGTTAATTTTTATGTGACAAGCTTTTTTTGCTGCTCTGTACGTGCAACTTTGGCAATTTTTTTCTATGACAAGTGCACTTGTTCAAAAGCTAGCATGCTAGCTTTTGAACAAGTGCACTTGTCATAGAAAAAATTGTCAAAGCGCAAATTTTGTACATCTGTATGAGTCAACAAAGAAAACTTGTCAAAGTAATCTGAGCAAATATTTGATGTAATTGGGCAGCAGGCTATATAATAATTTTTCTGTCACAGTGGCGATAAAAACCTTTTTCTGACACGTTCACACCAGTAAATAAAATTTGTCATATGAACACTTGTCATATAAAATTTGTTGCATATATATACATGACATGTGCACTTGGCAATAAAACTTGTCACCATAGGTGTAGCGTATTGGGGGGGGGGG